GGAGAAGAAGGCGGAAAATTAAAATAACATTACGCCATTAGCTTTGCAGATAGTAGATAAGCAAGTTCTTTTTTGTTTAAATTTCTTTTCATTTAGTTAAAAGCTTTGAGTTCGGTTTGAAGAAGACCAATTGGAAACAGATGCAAGAATAGTTTCTCCTAGAAAAAATGGTGTTGTTCAGTGCAGTTAAGGAAATAGGCTACAACGAAACAGCATAGTTTGCAAAAACCTATAGATCAAAAGTGTTTGGTTGGAAATCTGTAGATTGTTAGATGACTGAGAAAGTCTAAGCTCTCAGTGGTGTGAGTGGTTAAAGAAAAGGACCCATAGCTCACAGGGCTGGAACTAAAAAAAAATAAGTCCAGCTACAGATCTGATAGGGAAGAAAAATGCCTCTGGATTTTAATTAACGATAAAATGATGGTGCTGGGGAGTAGACAAGATTTGGTTTTGCTGGATGTTTAAAATCTTTTAAAGTGTGTTTCGTGTAGATAGTTTGATTTGTTTTTTTATATATATTCTTGTATGGTTTGTGTACATTACTGATTGGTCATACATAGAGTCATAGAGTCAAACAGCATGGAAACATATGCTTCAGTCCAACACGACCAGGCCGACCAGATATCCTAAATTACTCTAGTCCCATTTGCCAGCATTTGGCCCATATCCCTCTAAACCCTTCCTATTCATATACCCATCCAGATGCCTTTTAAATGTTGTAATTATATCCACCTCTTCTTCTGGCAGCTCATTCCACACGCACACCATCCTCTGTGTGGAAAAAGTTGTCTCTTAGGTCCCATTAGTATCTTTCCCACTCACCTTAAATCTATACCCTCTAGTTTTGGTCTCCCCTAACCTGGGACAAAGACCTTGGCTATTCACCCTATCCATGTCCCTCCTGATTTTATAAACCTCTATAAGTTCACCCCTCAGCCTCCAACACTCCACAGGGGAGCACGGTGGCTCAGTGGTTAGCCTTGGGTGACTGTATGTATGGAGTCTGAATGTTCTCCCTGTGTCTGCATGGGTTTCCTGTGGCTTCTCCGGTTTCCTCCAACAGTCCAAAGATGTGCCGGTTAGGTGGATTGGCCGTGCTATATTGCCCATAGTGTCTAGAGTGGGAAATGCAGGGATAAGGTAGGGGGTGGGTCTGGGAGGGATGCTGTTCGCAGAGGCAGAGTGGACTTGATGAGCTGAATGGCCTGCTTCAACAGTGTGGAGATTCTATGAAAGTAGCCTCAGTGTATTCAGCCTCTCCCCATAGCTCAAATCTTCCGACCCCGACAACATCCTTGTAAGTCTTTCCTGCATCCTTTAAAGTTTCACAACATCTTTCCTATAGTAAGCAAATCAGAATTAAACGCAGTATTCCAAAAGTGGCCTAACCAATGTCCTGTACAGCCGCAACATGACCTCCCAACGCCTGTACTCAATATACTGACCAATAAATGGCCAGCGAACTGAGTGGTTTGCCAGAAGGCAGTTAACTATGGGTTTAAGTCACATGTAGGCCAGAGTCAATAGATGTGAAGCTGGAAAAGCACAGCAGGTTAGACAGCATCCAAGGAGCAGCAACGTCAACATTTCAGGCTGAAACCCTTCATCTCCACGTCACATGTAGGCCAGACTGGGTCAGGACAGCAGATGGGTTTTTATGTCAATCGACAGTGGTAACATGGTCCCTATTATGCCTGCTTTTTAATTCCAGATTTTTATAAAATTCAAATTTCACCATGCGCTGTTGTGGGATTTGAATCTATGTCACTAGAACATTAATCTAGCGTTCTAAATGACTGACCCAATGGTATTAACACTACACTACCCCCGCCCATTCCACCTCTTACATAATAAACTTCTGTTTTATTGTTAAAACCAAATCTACAGCCTTGTGTGTTTAGTTTACAGTGAAAGGCCACAACATTAAATAGGATAAAACCAAAATAATAATGGTTTTCAGTCTGGGGTCTGATTTGATCAGCTGGGATCATAACACATGCAACAGAAGGTCAATTCTACTGTAAATACTGTTGTGCTGAACAAGGCATAATTCTTTTTCATACATATTAACAGAAATTGAATTTAATGTTTTAAATATGCACAGGAGGCCTAAGATTGACATTAGCCTGTTGTGTATATTGATCTCTCTATTTGCATCTCTATCCATTGGTTCTTCTCTCTATCCAAATTTTAGATATATGATCAGATGGATAGATGGTAGCACCAATAAAAAGGTTGATGGATTAATAAGAGAATTAGACAGATAGGTACAAGATTCAATAAATGTAAGACAGGGAGACAGACTACAGCAGATTAAGCAGTGTTTCCAATCAGCTGTGTTTTCTTGTCTCAAGACAAGATTGTGTCCAACATCATATGGTCTTACAGAACCTGTAAGAATCTGGCATGCTCATTTCTGGGACAGGTAAAGCGAAAGCTGTAATAGTTTTGGCAGAGAGCTGGACAAATCATTCCAAACAGGTACACAAGGCTGACACATTCAAGATGGATGGAGATAAAACAGCCAGTCCAACAGACATTTTTGTATAATCGAACAAACTGTTAGATTAAGCAGATAGGCCAATAGACAGGTGGACAAACAGCTAGACAGACCCAGGACCAGTGGATAGACAGACAGGAAACAATGCAGATAATTAAAGATTCAACACACAGGCAAGGATCCACAGACAGTGAGAGACATGGACAAAAAGATAAAGACATTGAATGACAGCAGAAGAGAGGGAAAGAGTGATGGAAAAACTACAAGATGGACAGAAAGAGAAAGAAAGACATGGGCAGGGAGAGAATGACAGTAAGAGACAGAGACAGAGTTGAACAGATGAGGAAGACAGACAGAAAGACACAGCCATGTGGTCAGAGAGAGACACACACACACAGAGAAATATGGAGAGAGAGAGAAAGGCATAAAGTGAGTCAGGGACAAAGAGACAGACACAAAAAGAAATGAAGAAAGATGTACAGGGAAAGAAAAATTTAGAGACTGGAATATGGACAATGGAAGACAGAGAATGATAGAGAGAAAGGCCCACTGAAGGAGGAGCATAGGTTTGTGTTGCCACAAGTTTGTGGCTTGGGGGTATTCTGCACATTGGAGAGAAGGTTCTCCTTGTTTCTGCTCATAATCTGTGTCCTGCAATGGTTTCCCATTTACCTATGAATGAGTTCTGTCTGACTTGGGTAAATGCTACATACTCCAATTTTCGACCATTTCTTCAAAGTCCCTTGCTTGTGACTGCCGAGAACATCACCACTGTATCATTAAATTCATTCTCGTTCTCAACAGTCAGAGGACAAATAGAGACACAGACAGAAAAATAAATCGAGGAAGACTCCGAAATGCAAATAAGAAGTGCAGAAATAACTGCGTAGAGTGAAGGGATATACCCAAGTGTAGCCGTCCATAAAGTGGAATATTCTGGGTAGTACATGCTCAAAACTTAGATACTGACCTGTTTTCACAGTAGATGATCTGCAGATCCAGACTGACCCTGGAGACAAACATGTGGCACTCAATCCGGACCTCATTGATGGTGGAAGGCGGCAGAGTATGGGCGAGAGCCACCATCCCCATGAAGCTGGTGGGAACAGCACGAGCATGAGGCAACGAAATCCGAGATCGCAAGCGCCCTGTGACATGGATAACCTGTGACAGAAAGAGCCATTTACAGATTACTGAAAGGTCGGCATAGAGTGGACATTGGGAAAATGTTTCCATTAGGAGGACAGACTAAGACTCAAGGGCACAGCCTTAGTGTAAAGGGAAGGCCCTATAGAACGGAGATGAGGAGAAACGTCTTCAGCCAGAGAGTGGTAAATCTATGGAATTCACTGCCACAGAAGGCTGTAGAGGCCAGATCATTGAGTATATTTAAGACAGAGATAGATGGGTTCTTGATTGTTAAGGGGATCAAAGGTTATGGGGAGAGGGCGGGAGAATGGGTTGAGAAACTTATCAGCTACGATTGAATGGCAGAGCAGACTTGATGGTCTGAAAGGCCTAATTTCTGCCCCTGTGTCTTATGGTCTTATTTTCACGTGATGTCTGGAATTCCCCACATTAATCTATCGAGCCTTCATCCCACCCCTGAGACGCCAAGTAGCATGACGCAAACAGGATACATCATTTAAAATTCAACACTTAATGCTGACGAGTTCAGTCGATAGAGTATAAGACCCTTAATCGCAGGATTGTGGATTTGAGCACCATACTGGGCGCCATTGTTTGTTCCTTTATGTAAGTCACAAAAAGCTAGCATCCAAGTTCAGCAGGTGATAGGGAAAGCAAATGTAATGTTGACCTTTGTTTCAAAGAGAATGAAGTATAAAATTGGGGAAGTCTTGCTAACTAATCAGACCACAGCTGGAATACTGTAAACAGGAAAGATATACTGGCACTGGAGGCAGTCCAGAGAAGACTAGACTGACTCTGGGTATAGAGGTAACTTCTCATGAGAAGAGGTCGAGTAGATAGGACCTGTACTCATTGGAGTTCAGAAGAATGAAAGCTGACCTTATTAAAACGTACAAGACTTTTAGAGGGCTTGACAGGGTAGATACGGAGAGGTTGTTTCCCCTTGTGGGAGAGTCTAGGACCAGAGGGAATAAGGGGTCACCCATTTAAGACAGAGATGAGAAGTTTCTCTCAGATGGTAGAGAATCTGTGGAATTCTTTACCGCAGAGGGCTGTCAAGGCTGGATCATTAAGTAT